CCAGGGCTTTCTCTCTACAAGACCCAAGCACGCCTCCTCTCAGTGTGAATCTTCCAAGATGCAGAAATATGAAATAATACCTAGATCTCATTACTAATTATATTCCCAACAACGAAAATGTACTACAACAAAAATGATATGAGTGCTGATGCATTTAATAATATACATCAAAAAAAAGTAACAAACAAATAAAATTAAATAAAATGCTAATTTTTACACACATTATCTAAGCCGCTTATCCCTCTGGGTCATGAGGGGTGCTGGAGCCTATCCCAGCGGTCATTGCGCAGAAAGTAGGAAACACCTGGACAGGTCACCAATCCATCACAGGTCAGACACACAGACATATACAATCACACACACATTCACACCTAGCGTGTCCAATTACACTGACTGGAAGAAACTCACACAAACACAGGGAAAACATGCAAACTCCACACAGAAAGGACACAGGGTAACCCGGCTGGGGAATCAAAAGCACTGCCCACTGCGCTAGCAGTTGCGTTTGACCACATATCAATCAGTCCTAGTCGCACTGTACAGAAAGCAAGGCTTTAGGCGAACAGGTAGCTCTAGCATTAGCTCAGGTCTGCATACACTCGAATACGAGTCTGCACTTCTGACTTTTTTTTAGAAAATGGAAAAAAAGGATTTTTTTCCTTCCTGAAAATAATCCTGATTGCACCCAAACAAATCTTTTTATGAAATTCAAATAAAAATAAAATATCTCCTCTTCTATTTGCAAATACATATGTGGAATGGATTGAAAGTTTAGAATCTGCCCTTTCCACATAATTTGTTTTCAACTGTTTTAATGAGCTACAGGAATAATGAAATGAAAATAATTCATTTACAATTACAGCACAATTTTGTCACTGTTTAACTGCGGTGTGCAGGTTTTGACGAATCTGCGTTGTGTTGTGGCCTGACCTGAAATTTGGTCTCAGGCACGTGTCACACAAAATTTAGTCAGCTTAGGCAAGCAAATGACATGCATCTACTTCAACAGCGACGTGGACAGCCACTGTCTTTATGGATGTAAATCACACTGATTTACAACAATTCACAGCAATTCCTTGGGAAATGATCTTAAAATCTTACCACAATCTGATTTGATTTGCTTTGATTATTTTGGTATGGTTGTGAAAAAAACTATTTACACAGTGGAGGAAAATTATTTTCTAAATATTATTATTATTGTTTTTGCTGTTGTTGTTGTAATTGTTATTTATTGATTCTAACAATTAAAAATCAATAGAAATGCCTTAATGCCATTTTTTGTCCCCGATACTGATGCTGAAAGCTTTAGTATCAGCTTATACCAATCTGACATTTTTTTCTTTAGAAACTACTTCTTAAAAATCTTAAAAGCACTTCAATTAAAACTGAACTATGTAGGTTTTAGGGATTTGGAGACCTCTCTGGTGGAAATGTCTAATTGCATGCAAGGTGAAGAGGAACATTTTGTCGTATGGATTGTGCTTCGGGCCTCTTCCCTGAGCAGATGAATCTGACAATTGCGAGCATGTTGAAAGAAGATTCAAAGAGAACTCAGTCAAAACTCGGTGTCTTCCAAGGATATAAGTGAATGATCTACTATTATCATCAAATCTTGTTAAGTATAATGTTGATTTTGCATTTGAGACCCAACCATTGAGGCTGGATGTCCTTTTTGAGCCTGTGTGTGACGCTAATATGTAAAGATGTATGTCAGGGTCCGAAAACCTCCTGTGAAATCTGACCCAAAACCTCTGACTTTTAAATTATGATTTCAGGCTTTACAGGGCGACGCACACACACCAAGTATTGACTGACTCAATAATGCTGTAATACTTCACTTTTAACATACAAAACCTTACATAGTGCAGCCTAACATATAAAAGTACACTATCATGGTTAGAATCATTCTTAATTACACTCCAATATCCCATCAAGCATTTTCAGCTCATATCGACCCAATATCAACACCCAAGGATTCCAATACGCCATCCCTACAGCCCTGTTATCACCCTTACATGTGCATCAAACACACCCTAAACTACCAACACTTTCTGCAGAGCACTCAGATCAATGCTTTGATCAAATATTGTAAGAACTCAATAATGCTTACAGCGTGGGATACAAAAACACACTGGCATTTATGCCTTTAGGCTTTTTCACTGGAAACAAAGTCTTCTGATACCACCACAAGGCCCACTTCAGTAATACATTACACCTTTTGACCATACCAGTACACACACACACATTCACACCCATCCTCTGCTAACCACTTCAAAGCAGACCTTTGATGTTGGACAGCTATAATTATCCATGCCATCCAGTGGGAACTTTTCTTTGGTGACAGAATTCTCCAACAGTACAGGCTTCATTTGTATTAAAGCATGTAATTCTTTGAACGTTGGTTTGCAGTGGCTCAGCACAATCTTCAATTCTAGGTCATTTCTTCCTTTTCTAAGTGGTATCTGTACAGTTCATGCATAATTGTGAAAGAGCCATGAGC